AGTAAAATAAAAAAAAAATTGAAAAGATAGACCCAGAATTGCGTGAAATATTGCGATCTAAAAAAAAATTTTTTTTTTGTTGCACTACTTATGATCGCCAGTGTATTAAAACCAGCCCAATAATTCTTGAGGCATTGATTTTCAAATACAAACAATATGCCAAGCTTTAGAACATTTTGAATTTACTTGGTTTTGCCTAGCGATAGTCATTATTATGGGATTTTGTGTAATATTCAATCAATTTTTTACAATATAAATACTAGTTTTGATCAAACTGAGATATCTCGGGATTTAATTGTCCAATTTGGTGATTCTATCATCAAATCGGGCCACTAAATCCCGAAACACCTCAGTTAACGTTAACAGGAGCGACCGTTCAAATTCGTAGATGATTCTGATATGGTTACACAATTGATAATTTTTTATAAGCATATATTATACAATACTTCTTTTAAAAGCTCGGGTATCTAAATTTTACATCAAACGAGAGTAAATTAACGGATTAATTAATGTTTTTACTTCGCTTTATAACATATTCTTTGAATCCCCGTGAATCCCACAACTTTTTTTTTGTAACCTGATTTGGTCAATTTGCTAAAACTTGAGATATGATTGGTTGACAATCACGTGTAATTGTACAGGAATTATCTACGAATTTGAACGGTCGCACCTGTTACCTCAGTTTGATCAAACCTTGTATCTGTATAGTCAAAACGAATTTGATTAATATTACACGAATTTGATCGGCAAATCCTAAATTTTATACGTAGACAAGATTATCATGTCAAAACTGATATTTAACGGCGTAAAATATCATTTAATAATTTTATTTCATTCTTGCAATAAATTTATCACTCAAAGGTTTTGAAAATTCTCAAAATTATAATCTTAGAAAATGAATTTTATAATAATTTTATTCTTTATTTTAATTTTTTACTATAATATATGTCCACCAAAACGTTCACCGAAATGTCCACCCAGACCACTATGGGTACCTCCTAGTGATACAAATATGTCATTCGATATCTGGGGTCCTGTTACCCAGAATGAAATTGATTCATTCATTAGTTTTCTAGGACAACCTTCTAGAATACCCACAACTGCGCTGAATAATACAATAGCGGATGGGCACGCTGGTCAAGATGTAGAAGCTTTAGGTTTAATGTATGAAGTTACCCAAAACCCTCAAATATTTGATATAATGATAACTTATTCTGATACTTTTTTGTCACTCCGAAATAATCCCATCAACGGACGAATTATGTGGACAGGACAAAGAGAACTTGTCTGGTGCACAAAACCTGCTAATGAAACTATATCTGGTTACGCCGGTTCCGAAGGTCTTGATACAATTGGGCATATAGCATACACGGCTTACCATATTCTTGGAACTCGTTGCCTCTGGTTTAAAAATGTTACGGATAATGATCCTTATAGATATGGTACAACATATATAGAGCGTGCGTTGACATACATAACTGAAATGGATAAGACTATTGATACATATTATTTAAAGTATTTCATTCGTGAAAATGATTCGAAAATTTATAATCCAAACTCTTCTGCATGGACGGCTCTTGGTGAAATGCCTGCAAATTCGCCAATGCCTTGGAACCGACAGCAAATGATGACAAATGGATTTTTAAGAATGGCAGAATGCCATGAAATTCTTGGAGATGATGAATTTCGTGTCAATAAATATTTTAATATTATACAGGTTTCTATTGATTGGATGGTCAGTGAATTTATTCCAATTAAGACTAAGAATGGCCTAGACGCATATAATTGGAGGTATTCCGATTCAACTACCGTTGCTGACCCTGCAGAAGCTGTTGGTATTCATGCACTTTATGATATTTGGGGCATGTATCGGGCATGGCAACGAATAAATAAATTAAATGTTAGCTTTGATGTTATGGTTAAACTTGCTAACACAATGATGTATGTAATAGATCTTGGTAATAATACAGTTGCAACAAGAGTAGATGGTACATATGATAATAAAACCGCACTCTTATATGGTCCTTGGGCATTGTACGCTGAATTTATTCCTGAGTGGTATGAATTTGTCGCTAATGTAAATATAGATAATGTTAAATCTGGTCCACAGTTCATAGGCGCACTGCTTTGGGTAAAAAAACTTTTACCCTTTTCCTTCTGATGTTGATACCATCATAGCCCTTATGATAATAGCTTTTATATTCCTCTTAGTTTTCATGCTTCGAGTCAAGGCGTTGCTATTGATTATAGTACTAGGTTTAGTTTTGTCTTATTTGTAAATTTAGTATTAGTGTTGTATGTCGTTTAATGATTCCTATTGATTCGGAATCGATATGTATTATTTGCGAATTCAAGAATAACGGATGTCATTTGGGAACCAGTTTTTTTTTTTAAATATTATTAAAAAAAAATACCAAATGTCATAAAAATAAAAATAAAATAAAAAATAAATAAACTACTACACAGTTTCTTCATCCCTAATAAAAAACATTATATGATATCTATAATAATGATTTAAAGGTTTTTGCAACGATTACCATATCTCACATAATTGGATAGCTGCGTGATATTATCACAAAAACCAGGAACGGAAATTTTGCAAATAACCGTCAAAAGAAATGTATAGAAAATCGGTTCCAGTTTAACTTCCCGAAATCCATTTTTCTGAAACACCAAAAATCCATTTTACTAGCAGGACAGAAATAGGTCTGTGTCATTTTGCCAAAAATCAAATAACCGATAAGTTTATGTTACTAACAATTATTTTACTGACAGCTCATTTCACCGACTGGTTTTTTTTTAAATTGCACTAACCTTAACTCTAATTCTAAATCTAACTCGTGAAATGACTGCCGGTTAAATAAACTCAATGAAATAAACTTGTCGGTGAATTGATATTCAGTGAAATGACAGACCTATTTCTGTCCTGTTAGTAAAATGGATTGTCGATATTACGACTTTGGTGTAATGGTATTTCAGAAAAATGGACTTCGGGAAAGTGAGCAACAACCTAGAAACTCAGAAAAATAAAATAGATAGACTTATGTTCAACTTGTTTCTTTTAGTTTCGAAAAAAATTTTACTAAAATTATAAATAGCATTAGCCTAATGTGGGCTAACCTATTGGAATTTTGATGGACTAACCTGACGCATGACGATAGTGTTACGACCAGGGGAGAGACTTTATATCCACTGAGCAATTTAGTTTAGGGTCGTAAGCATTAAAATGAGAAACCAAATATTCATTAACACACACAAGGCACTTAAAAGTACTAATAATCCATGCGATACAAGTAAGTATCTTCTTAATACGTGTACCCGGTACACTATAGTTCCCCAAAATATCCCTTGTTCCAACTCAAAGACCAAACTAAAATCTACTAACTCTATCCAACTCTCTAACCAGTGTTTTACAGCATGGGGACTTTCTCACTTTTCGGAAAAACACGGGTTTTGCCATATGATAATTAACCAATCAAAACCGCTTTATCAACACATGATCAAAACCAGATAAATAATCGTTGAACTAAGGCAGCCAATCAACGGGCATTACTCGTATTTACGATTTCGTTCATAATTTAGCTTTGAAGTAAAATAACTCGTATTGTAAAGAAATCAGACTATTCATCCACATTATAACAGTAATTTTACAATTCTAAAAATTCATTTAAATGATTTTTTAATACAAGTTACACGTCCTTCAATAGTTTTTCTTTAAAACTTGCGTAATTAATAAAACTATACTATCGTACATATTAAATTAGGATAGCTGCGCGACGCGTGACGCCGCGCAGGACCAGTTGTTACGACTAGGGAGAGCTTTTATATATCCAAGCCAATTTAGTTCAGCGCCGTAAGCATAAATCCTGATCGTAAG